CAGAGCTGGCTTTGGGACCCAGCCCTGGAGCGCCGAGTCTGTGCTCTCAGCGTCCCACCCCTCAGAGGCTGGAGCGATGCTGAGCGAGGGCTGTTGGAAAGAAGAGAAGCCAGGTTTCCTTAACTGTTTTAGCCTGATGAACCTCTTTGGGAACATGGTGAAAGCCTCCAAGAAGACTACATCCATCTGTACCAATGTGCCCCGTTTTGCTTAGTTCCAGGGGTCCACGGCCCCTCCTAAGGACCTCTGGTCCGGGAGGCCGAGGGCAGAGCTCTCACTGTGCTGCTTGCACCGTAGCCAGAGCCACTGCTCAGGGCGCCCAGGCCGCCGGGGTGGCTCTCTCAGGGACAAACGATGGGTGATGGTAGGTTAGCCCGCAGCTCAGCTCGAGGACAGATGTGTCTCCTCAGACTGGGGCTCCCTGAGGTCAGGATTTTCTTCCTCTCTGACAGCTCCTACTCTCAATATTTTTAATCTCCCAAGAGGGAGGGTGACACCCTTAGGCTCCCTCCCATAGCACCAGCCAGGAGCTCTCATTTCTGCCTCTCTAGTGCTTTCTTGCTTTGCTGGGGCTTAGAGACCTCAGACCTCAGCACCCAGTCATGGTCACGGTCATGGTCATTGTCTCGCTGCCACTGAATTGGAAGTGGTTCCTTGGGGGAGAGCAGAGAGGAAGGGGGCCCTCAGCTCTGCTTCCCTGGCCTTGATTTCAGGAACAAAAGCAGCCAATTTCCAGGCTGCTGAGCGGACAGCTGAAGGGTTTTATGCTCTTTTGGTGGGAAAAATACATTTGCCTGTTGGAAAAAATGTCTCTTTGAGCTCTCCAAAGATAGAATGTGGAGGAAAAGCACTTAGGGTCTGGTGTCTGTGCCCTTGTGGTTCTGGCCCTGCTTGGCAGTGGAAAACCTGGTTTCCCTCCCCTCAGCTTCTTACTGCTGGGTGCCTGTGGGCAAGTCCCTCACCCTCTCTGAGCCTGAGTCCCAGTGGATCAAGTTGAGGCTCGTGTAAGAGCCTTTGCATGCTACCCAGGAGTATATTGTTGCGGTGGGGGAAGCTGAGGCCCTAAGACCAGGTGTCCTGGCACATGGTATCTGGACTGCTGTCGTTGGGAACAGTGTGCATGTGCATGTGCATGTGTGTGCATATGTCTTATTTAAACATGGCTTCTGGGGGCCTGTTCAGACCTACAAAATCAGACTCCAGGAAGGGGGCCCAGGAATCTGCCTTTTAAGTGGGAGAAGGGGCGAGTCCCAAGAAGTGAGAGACCCATTGCCCATGGGTGAAGCTACTTCTCAAGGTCAGGAGGGCAGGCTCAGTGGGCTCTGACCTGTCAGGACAGGCAATTGGGATGAGGCACATGTGGACACGTGGGAGCAAGTGTGGATGAGGTGAGGGATCAAAGAGGTAAGGGGACAGAGGGTCCTCAAGGAAGGGAGGCCAAGGGCAAGCCTGAGGCTGGGGTGGTGGGGGCGGCCCTCAGCCAGTGGGGGCTTTCAACATACACTTCACCTCAAGCGCCAGAAGTATGTATGTTGGGGGTAGGCCTCCTTGGACTGGTGAGGGTGGAGGTGGCTATGTCACCCATCCTATCTCTCCTTTGTCACCATGGGAGTGACTGCTCTGCTCATCCCCTGGCCCATGATGACTGACCCATCCAACAAGCCTCACTGTGTCACAGCAATACTGAGGGAGGAACTTCTTTTAGCCCCACTTTACAGATAGGGAAACTGAGGCACAAGGAAGGCAAGTAAGTTGTCTGGATCTGGGGTGTGGACCCAGCATGTCTGACCGCAGCCCAGACACTTAACCATTAGGCTTTCCAGCTAAGAGGAAGTATTGGGGCTCGCCCTGCACGTGACCAGGTGCCACGCCAGTGAGGAGACAAGGGCCTCGATCACGCGTCTGGCCACTGCTTCGCTCTGCCTTCATCCACCCAGTTTGCCTGTTCCTGCTGTGAGTCAGGTGCTGGGCTGGCCCGATGCAGAGGCGGGTTCCTGTCCTGGGGGAGCACACAGCCCCTGTGAGAGACAGATGCACCCCTGCTTCTGCAGCCCAGGGCCTGCTGCATACGAGCCAGAGGGCTGCACACTAGAGAGAGCCCAGGGGAGGGGAGAGGAAGCGGCTGTTGGTCAGTGTCTGTCTAGGAAAGGCGAAGTCGAGCAGAAAGGATAGGAAATGCCCTGGACAGATGTAAGCATGATCTCAGCAGCATGGAGGGAAGAGGGTTAGCATTACTGACCCCAGAGTGCAGTGAGAGTCCTGAGGTCACTGGACAGAGAGCCAGCAAAGCTGGGTGGCTGGATTCTATTTCTTAGGCCAGTCGTGTGCCTCTTGCCCAGCTGGGAGGGCGGGCAGAGCCAAGAAAAGCCCGCCTGCTGCTCTTTGAAGATAAGGCTCTCCCCCAGACCCCCCACCCCAGAGTCTCACTCTCTTTCTTACTAGCCTAGACATGACTAAATCTGCATTCCAGGCCCAGACTTGGAGGGATCCCAGACCTTGGAGAAGTCACTTGCCTTCTCTCTGAGTCTCACATTCCCGGTTTATAAAGGAATTGGAAAAGGCGGCATCTGAGGCCGCTTCCAGCTTGACGATTCTAAGGTTTTATGTAGCTATAGAATTCCATTGTAGCATTCAAAGAGAAACCCCAGGAGAGAACTGCAGAGAGAAGCACTCCCCACCAACCCTCTTCCTTACTTTCCAGCTCCTCCCGGTGCCTCGGGCTCCACCACTGTAGAGTCACCTTTGGTGCTAAAGTGTGTAGTCCTTTGTTTAAATCAAGACAGACGCTCCTGCCTCCAAACCCAGCACACAGCAGGAGGGCAAGGTCAGCCCAGGTACAAGTCAGCCCAGCTCGGTGACCAGCATCTATAAAGTGGTATCTCACCTGGAGCCCCTCTGCCTACCTTGCAGAGCTGCCTCGCATATCATTTCCTCCGACACTCACTGCCCTGGGCTGGGAGGTTTGTCAGGTGGTTTCCCAAGTGACAGCTGGCTGGGAGCAGGTGTGGTGGAGGGTGTGGGGCCAGCAGAGGAGCTGTGTGCCACCGGGGAGAGGCCCCGAATGAAGACTGGAGCGGAGGATGGGGATTTGGGGATCTCTCTCAGAGACATCTCTGGGAATCTGCTTGAGGACTGGAGCTGCGTGATTCATGAGCACAACCTGGGGCCTCCCCAGGCAGCGGGGAATGCCATGTGTTCATGCCAGGTTGCCACTGCATCTGTCTGTCTGTCAGTTGGCCTTTGGCTCCCAAGNACCCCCCCCCAGGCAGCGGGGAATGCCATGTGTTCATGCCAGGTTGCCACTGCATCTGTCTGTCTGTCAGTTGGCCTTTGGCTCCCAAGTCAGGATGGGGGTTATGGGCGATTGAGTTGAGTGTGGGGTCAAGTTGCCCAGACAAACTGTCACTCCTGATGGCTTCAGTGATTGTGATTCAGGGTAAGATCTCCTTCTAGACCTTTCTGGCTTGCTGTGGGGAGCGGCCCCGCCCTGGGCCCTCAGGAGAAGGTGGGGCACATGACCCCGAGGGTCCATCCATCTCTGACATTTGGAATTGGCTGTCAGGAAGCCACAAGGACACATGTCAAGTGTTTCTCCTCCATGGAAAAGGGGTTCAAGGGGCACAAAGGCCCCTGGGGGAGTGTGGGAGTAGAGAGGGGAGAGGGGAGATGGCCCCTGGGGACATCTGGGAGGGAGGTGGGGCAAGGCTGAGGTGGCTGGCCAGGGCAGAACTGAACTTTAGGGCAGTGTATGAAGTGGTGTGGGATGGGGGAAGCTTGAGCAGGCAGGAGGGGCTCACAGGGAGCTCCTTCAAGGATGGGGTGTAGGGGGAGCCTTTGCCCAGTCAACACAGGCCTTTAATGAGCAGGTTTCCTGGGGCTCTGTCCCATTGGGCCCCTCTGGGAGACTGGAGCATGTCTGGGGGCATGGAGAGGAAGGTGAGGAAACCGGTGTTTATCCCCAGCTCCTGCCCACCGTTGGTTGAGGGCTGCCCTCTGAGCATAAACTTCCTGGTATTTGCGGACCGCCTGCCAGAGAAAGCCCTGGGGAGAGAAGCAGGAGGAAACCACGGGTGTGCACAGGAACCGGGAGGGCCGAGGGCGCGGCACAGGGCATCCACGGCCTCCAAGCCTGGCACCACCGTCTGTATTGCACAGATGAAGAAACAGGCTAGAGAGCCTGAGTGACTTCTTGTGCTGCTTCCTGCCAGCAGCAGGTCACTGTAGAGTGAGGGGCACCATGTGCAGGACAGCCCCTTGCCCGATGTCCCTGGGCCTCCACTTCCACATGTGTGAGATGGGATGGTGCCTGCCCAGTGCTGACCCTGGAGGGCAGCGTGAGGATTGGGAGCTACTGTTTGCAGAACACTTAGCGCAGTGCCTGACCATCACCGCGGTTCAAGGAGCCGAGCTGTGACTGCACGGAGGCAGGCGGGGGGCTCACACCTGTTCAACGGCCTCTCAGTCCCCAGTCGCTGTGCCCATCGTCCCCAGTCGCTGTGCCCATCATGTTGCTGAAGGCCTTCGAGTCGGATTCCCGGGGCCTTGGCCAAATGAGCCTGCATCCCCTGGGAGTCATAACTCATTAGTCCATCTGTGCAGATGGGACGATGGAATAAACTGGTTGTAAGTAGAGCCCTGAGAGAACGGGACACTGGGTGGATACGTTTTGATGGCTTGATTTTATTTTTTAAGAGACAGAGATGTGGTAAGAGGAGAGTTTCTAGAACAAGCTAAGACATTGGGTGAATAGAGATTTGGCCCAAGAGCGAGGGGCGGCCGGATCCAGGGTACCAGCATGAGTGTGGCGAAGGTGGGGTGGGGGCAGGGAGCCGCATCCCTTGAAAGCTGAGCTGAGGACCTTGGTGCCCGCCCTGTCGGCTGTGATGGGCTGTAAGGAGCCCAATAAATGGGGGGCAGCCTCCGGGCCTCAGGAACAGCGGGAATGCCCCGAGACCCCCTCTCCCCACTCTGCTCACTCCTCTTCTCTCCCCTTCTTTCAGGAACCTTTTGGACAAAGACATGTTTTCCAAGTCTGACCCACGTAAGTCCTGCTCTGCCAATAATAACAGTAACAGTAGCACCGACGGCATTGTGGCTGCTTGCGGCAGCCAGCACTTGAGCCCTTGCTGAGCGGTCGGTGTGCCCGGCACCGGCTCAGCACATCAAGGCTGTTTCATGAGCACTGTCCGGAGAAAGAACTGGCGGCTGACCCTTCCCTGCCCCTTTGCTTGTGAAGCCTCAACACAACCTAGCGGGTGTCTGGGCCCAAAGTTTTCAGTCCCAGGCGAACCAGTACATTTAAGAGCCCCAGTTGGCTGGGTCTGGGGAAATGAGCACTGATTTTGGAGTCCAGGGTTCTAGCCTGGAGAAATGCCACTCAAGTATATAATCTCAAGTAGGTCATTGGCCTCCTATGAGCCTCAGTTGGCCCATCAGAGAAGGAGGGCTGATGACAGTAACGGGTCTCTGAGGCTGCCTTGAGCCCTAAAGGGATGACTTGAGTTTCAGGTGCTCTCTTGCCACACCTCTACCACCAAGTCACCCATCACGCCCACCTGTCTACCTGCCCCACACTCACACTTGCTCAGGCCTTAATGCAAATGGCCCCTGACTCCCTTCCCAAAGGGTACTCCTCCCAGATAGGCTGATGTTCTAGCCCCCGTCCAAGCTGACTAATGCCCCCAGCCACCCAGGCCGTACTCTCTGAGGCCCCGGCTGCTCCAGGGCCCTCCTCATCTGGGGCACCACCTTTCTCTTAGCCTGCCTGGCGTGTTAACCCTTTTTCTCTCCTCTCCCCACAGTGTGCGTCATGTATACTCAAGGAATGGAGAACAAGCAGTGGAGGGAGGTAGGTCCAGCCCCTTCCCCCCAAGAACACCAGCCTGTCCCCGATGTGGTCAGCTTGTGCACCTAACGGGAGTCGGCCCACTTGATGTTTGTAACTGCAGCCGTGGAGCCCAAGGGAAGGACAGTAAGGTGTGCAGAGTCGGGAGACTGGTCCCTGCTGTTGCAGGAAGAAACTAATGGTGGACTGGAAAGTTCCTGTCCTCAGGGAACCCAGTCTGAGGGGAGACACAGCCCTGTCCTCAGGGAGACCCAGTCTGAGGGGAGATGGAAGAAGAGCAGGCCCACCAAGGTCTCCGTGGCCTGAGGACCGTGCGTATGGCATCTAGCACCATGGTCCACCCACAGCAACCGTCCCATGGCTCTGACTAACGTGAGCATTCAGTTAGGTCAACCCCCTGCCCACAGATCTTCAGTGATTCCCCTCTGCTTTGAATCAAGTCCCAGTTCCTCAGCCTGGCTTCCAAGCTCTGCCCAGAACCTGGGGAGTCCCTCCCTGATGATGTGATAAAGGTGGGAACAGGCCACAAAGCTTCAGTACCTCGGGCTTGTCCCCAACCCTCACCTTCCTCATGGGGGGCCTGCCAAAGCATCTCCTGCCCTGCTCCCTGCTCCCTCAAGTTGTGTCAGGAGCAAGCGGCCAAAGGGGGTGAATTTTATCCATAAAATCTGTGGGAAATACCTGCACAGGGGCTGGGCTGAAGTTCACTTTTTCACTCTCCGAGGCTCTACACCAATTAAAGCATAAACCAGATTGCTGGGGAAACGTTTAGCCGACTTCAATGAACTAATTACTCTTGAGGCCTTTTGGCCAAGCTTCTTAGAAAGCAGGAACGTGCTTTCTTAGTGATGCACTCAGGAAAGTGTGGGGGGGCCCTCAGAAGGGCACTGCTCCTGCAGCTGGTGGCTACGGTCTGGAAGGGAGACCTGTCTCCATTTGGGTCTGGGTCCTGGCTGTCAGCACCGGCACCGCGGGGTGGGGCAGAGGAAAGGGGGCGGCCTTGCCGTCAGCCGCACCTATGCTCCGGTCCTGGCTCCAGCCCTTTCTGGATCTGGGACCTGGGCAGGTTGCTTAACCTGTCTGTGCCTCAGTTTCCACATATGCAACATGAGGATAACACCTACCTGCCTTGCAGGCCTGTGGCGGGGATGAAACAGGATGGGGTTTAACGTGCCTGGGGTGTGGTCGCTGCTCGGTAAATATCGTCGCACAGCATGGCCCAGAGCGTCAGGGCCTTGCTGGCCGCAGCCCAGTTTCAGTCAATATTTGCAGCAGGAAGCATTGATGGGGTGCCGGGCAACAAACCCGGTGGGGGCGGCAGGGAGAGAGGTCAGGAGAACCAAGCTTCACCTAAACACCAGCTGGAGCCAGGCAGTTGGCAGCCTGGGGGCAGATTCCACGCGTGAATGATCTGCCAGGGAAGGGTGAGAGGTGCCGGTGAGGAGAAGGGGAGCTGGGAGGGGAGACGGTGCAGCCGTGTTAATAGCTCACTGGGTTTTTACAAAGGGCATTTGACCAAACGCAAGCCTCTGGCTAAGGGCTGAGTGGTGCGGAGAAGGGGAGCATGTGGGTCAAGGGGAGCTTCGGGGCTCAGCCGGCTCAACCTGCCCATTCTGGAGGGGGCAGGATGGGCCTCAGGTGGCCGAATCAGGGTGCAGAGGGAGTGTGCGCTGGGGGAGCTCGGTTGCAGGGAAGCGGGGACACAGCATAAGGGCCCTGCGGCAGAGACTGTGGCCTAAGCAAAGGTATGGGGTCGGGTGGGGGGTGGGGGAGGCTGGAGTGAGCAGGTCTGCCCAGGTTCCCAGCAGCTGAGGGCTGGGTATAATAAAGGGCTATTTATAAAGCAGTGGGCGGGTTTTAGGGAGCTAATGAGGGGTGGCGAATCACGAGGCTGGCGACAGAGGGAAGCCTGAGGGGCGTAATAGGGCTTCGGGACAGGAGCAGGGACGCTCAGTGGAGGGACACGGTCAGCCCAGGGGATTTCATTCCTTCCCACCTTCTGCTCTTGGCCAGCGCGTCCCATCGGCAGAACCTGCTGGAAGACCTGGGGTGGGGAACGTTGATGCGGTCTGCAGGGCCAGCCTCCGGGCACAGAGCACCGTGGAGAGGGGCAGGGGTGGATCCAGAGGGACAGGCGGAGACGCGGGGACAGACAGCGAGAGGATGAGTGAGGCTGGCATTCAGTGTGTTGCCTGATAAGATCCAGGAAAAGGTGACTGAAGGGGGCTCCTGGCTGTTAGTCTGAGGACATGGGGAGTCATGGGGTCAGAAGTCAGAGCAGGAGGGTCCCTAGAGATCAAGGAGACTGACCCCATTTCTGAGAGGCAGTCAGCACCATGCCCAGCCTTCAGGGGTGACAGTGGCAGAGCTCAGCCACATGTACTCTTGGGGAGGGGGAGAAACCGCCCCCTTCTTGAGTTCTTGGACTAACAATAAAATTGATGTAAGACCAGATTAACAGGAGAAAAACCAACTTGATACGTGTACGCGGGAGACCGTAAGTGATGACGCTCTCCAACACAATGAACCAGCCACCTTTTTATACTTTCTAGGCAAAGGAACAATACATGCGTGAGGAAATGACAGGACAAAGACATTAAGGTTGGGGTGCTCATTACCGAGGAATCTAAACAAGTTTGGGCATGGGAAGTAAGTTAGCAGAGGAGTAACAAGCGTTGCTTAGGCGAGCTTTTGGACCCTGGACTCCTTAACTCTAGGGATAAGGTGTCTCTCAGCCCCCTGCAGCCAGGGGACACCCTTCACAGCGGAGAATTATTCTTTGCATCCAGGGAGACAAGGGCGGGTCAAGGTGCCCCTCCCGCACTGGCTGCTTGTCAAGTAACTTTAATTCCGAGTCATCATATGTCATTGTGGGATATTTGGGGTGGCCTGGCCCGGGCCCTGAGAGCACCCCCAGGACTCAGGCTTCACGCTGTTTTGGAGAAGAGAAGATGCACTCAGACACATTGAGGCCCTACTTTGCCTGATCCTCTGTGACCCCTAGAGGGAAGGCTCAGGAATGGAGAATTTAAAGAAAAACCCAGATCCATCTCTGCGGAACCGGCCCTGGGAGGGAAGACAGCCTTTGCGAGTAAACAGAAGCCCTTTGCCGCCGCACCACCTGCTAGTTCATTGCAAACCGTCTGTGAGCGGAATCTTGGCCGAGAGACAGTCATCCTATGGCCAGAGGGTGTCAAGTGCAGGCCCAGGGTTCCTCTAGGCAGGGCCTGACCCCGGGTTCACACAAGGCCGCAGAAGGATGAAAGCTGTTCTCGTAGCCCCTGCCTGCCGGGTTTCAGCTGATTTTAACCATTTAGGCCATTTTAATGCCTCTGAGAAAGCTCCATCCTCCCAGCACCTAAATCTGTCACTGCATTTTATGAAAATTGACTGGAGATGTGATTTTAGCCCAGGAAATCAAGCGCTATTTGCATCAAGTCTGCAAGGGCCTTCCGCATGTCCCCGGGGAAGGCAGGGTGGCCGGGTGAGAAGGGTCCCACTTGAAAAGTGTGTGGGGGATGGTCCTTGTCCCTCCCCTGCCAGGTGGTTGTCCTGGCTGGGGGCCAGTCGGTAAGGAGGACATGGGCATCTCAAATCTTAGGGTGTCCCGCTGATTGACTCATACCACCTGAAGGGCACGTGGCGCCAACTGGCACAGCCACCCGTCCCTGCCGGAGCACTCAGTCTATTTCTGAGTAACCTCAGCCCATCGAACATTTTAACAAGCTGGGAATGATAGTTCATTGCTAAATATTTGGAATAATATCCTCGGAGCACCTTGATATGTGCCTTCCCATAACTTTGTCCCCATGAGCATGTGTTGGGCACCTACTGTGTGACAGGGAGGATGCTGGGGACAAAAAGGGCACCAGGCACTGTTCACACCAGCGGGGCTCCCTTTCAGTTGGGGGGGTAACAGTGCAGCAAGTAGTGCTGGTAGCACACACAGGGTAACAGTGCAGAGCCAGGCTCTGTTCTCAGCCCTCACAGTGTCGTCTAATCCTCGCTACGCCCTATGGGGGAGGTGCTGTTATTATTTACCATTGTCATTGGCCCCATTTCACAGAGGAGGAAACTGAGCCCAGAGAGGCTGATGTGAAAGTGGTTTTCTAAACATGATGTTGTAAAAACAGTAACAGGTTTATACATACAGGGCGACATTCCACTTGTTCCTAATTCTTTCCTCCTTAGATGAAGTTAAGTGGATTTTCCCTCCCACGTGTTCTTTCCCTCAACATCTGAAGACCGCTCAGGGGGCCCTGTTGGCCAGTTTTGGGGCAGCCTTAGAATGTGGCATTTCTATCAGTAGTTCCTGTTTATGTCGCAGTCTCTTGCCGCTTTACCAGTCTGGGCACACTCCCCTCGACCCCTCCTGGAACATACACCCATTGCTGCTGTTTTTTCATCAGAGAAACAGCGATCGGTTGCCTCCCCACGTGCCCCAACTGGGAATGGAACCTGCAACCTGGATATGTGCCCTGACCAGGATCGAAACCGCAACCTTTTGGTGCATGGGACGACACTCCAACCAACTGAGCCACCTGGCAGGGCTACAGGTCCATTCTTCAGTGTCCTTCCCAAGGTGTGTCCGCTTGTCTAGCCCAGAGCGTCATGGGCTGGCTGCCTCCTCACAGGGGCTTGGACTAGACCATGAGCTCCTCCCTAGATCTCCGCATTCTGTGCCTTTCTCAGGGTTGTACATCTGTCCACGCTGTCTAGTATTCCACCGGCCTCTGTGACAGTTGTCTCCGACTTCGTATTGAGTTTGGGGGCAGGTCTCTCACATGAGCTGCTGTTCACAAAGGATTCCCTCAGCTCAGACCTGGAAACTGAGTTTTTGAATCTAAATGTGATTTTATCTCCATTGTGGGTCCTTTGGTAGATTCAGTCTGTTGTGTGGCCTGTGAGTTATGACTGTGCATCCAGATCTTGGTTCTGTCTCCTGGTCTTGGGCCGGCTGTTGTCACCCACACGAATGATGAGCGGCTGAACGGGCTGGGGTG